TTTGGTCTTTTTTCTTTTCTTTGTGTTGCAATATGGTATTATACATGTTAACAGAACAAGGAAGTATCACCAGTAGGTATTTTGCTAATTGCAAAGTTGTCTAACTTCCCCTTTAACAAATTGTTGTATTTTTTCCTTGCTATGTCAATTCGAAATGCAAGTATTGAACTTATAACACATCTCGGATACAATATTGGGCTCTTTAGTCTAGCTAAACTATCATGAAAGATGTACACCATAATATTTAACTTTATGCAGAAGTACAGTATCTCTTTGACGACCTAGTATATCCTAGGCCTATAAATTTTGCTATGTGAATTTCCTTTAAACTTTAATTTCAGTCTTTCATGTTAGGCTCCGCGTTGGCAGAGGTAAACCAGGTCCAACTTATCAAGCATATTTAAGGCTGGTTGACCACAAATGTGTGACTATTGTTTGTTGCTTCACTTATATAAGCAACAACATTAGAATTTTTTTAATTTTAAAAAGAACCAACAAAGTAACTCCACGAGCTAAACACATCTCAAATGTGTAATGTAAAATTGAACGTAAGATGTCAATGATCCTCTTGCTCCACAGTTGATATGATTTGAGCAGTCAATATAGCTGAGTATTACACATGTCTGTGCTGAATTGCTGGTACTAGCATATAAGAAGAGCATGCTGGTGTTGCATATTGTTACTGTCAAGTAATGCTCATTAGATATTTGAAATTTGTAATACCATGTTAGAGAATACAAAATTTAATTTTTTCTACTATATCACCAGGTATGCTTCGTGGATCCTCATATATTTTTCTCAGCATAAGAATTTCAGGTTGAGATTGAAGATTTTCATTTTCCCTCCTGTGGAGATTCCTTTCCCTTATGGTTCTATGAACAATTGTCGCCGTCCTTTCAATTCTATCCATAAGCGTCTATCGATGAAGCCATATTACACCGGAGAGCAGAGCACACAAGCTTATAGAAAGGTCGCCATAATAACATCCACAAATTGGAAAATATGAGTTTGAATTTATTACTTTATTTGTCTTGATGCAGGTATGCCAATAATTACTTGCTTCTTTTATATGGATTGTATTTCTGTCCAACAATCTTTTACACTATCTGAAAATATTGTTATTACATGGTAGAAAAGCGTGCATCCCTGATATACTCTTGTAGTAAGGAAAATTTATTTATAATCTTAATTAGATGTCCTTCATAGTTGAAATTTACTTTTTACTTACTTGGCATCCCATTTTAGAACATGCCCCAAAAAGAAAGCCTGTGTCATATTATGTTATATTATTTTCTTATAAATCATATTCACATTGGTGATATATTCATGGTGAATGCGAAAGATGTCGACCAAGATTGTCAGTTTATGAATGAACTAGTAGCAGATTTTTCGTGGTAAACTATACTGAACATGAATTATTTTAATTTTAGGCTTGGAAAGCCTTACCCTTTTTAACAGAGGGTTCTAATTCTCACTAGCAGATAGGTTTTGGTAAAAGTTTTCGATCAAGATTGATGCACATACTTGAGTTGATTTCAATTTGCTAACAGAAAAATCTGTTAATAATATATGTTGTGTGTTTTTATTCTTTTTCTTCTAGCAAAGATTGTTGCATCTGGTGGTGTTTTAATGACTCAAGTGTCTATCGACCATGAGAAGTAAATCAAACTAGATTGGTTAACTGTAGACATTCTTGCAGAGCTACTCAACCAAGTTCAATCCAAGGATATTAAGAAGCTTAACCCGATAGAGCAGTAGTTTGAGCATGGAAACTGGACAAAGATATGTGAGTTTGAATTATTCTATTTGTATGTCCTTATCCTCGGTGGGTAAATTGTATGACTTTTATTCATGTGCATCAAATGATATTTATACTGTAGGGGCTTAATGAAGTTTGTGCTAATGAGTATCTACATTAAACATAAAGTGTATAATATTCAACAACTTATTGTCGCTATGAAGTTTCCTTACTTTCCTGCTTTGACTGTATGTATATCTCTTAAATTATTGCAGATTGATTTGAAGATGTAGCAAGTGTTGGAGGAACACATGGTTATCTTTGTGGATGTAATTTAGAAAAAGGAACGAAGTTTACAATATAGTTTTCAATGTTCTGCTGCTATTCCCCGAGGATGGTCTATGCCTCACTTTTGGGTTTGCAAAATCATAGCTCTTCTTATCAAGTATTTATTGTTGTAAGAGTTACAAGTATATGTCCCAAGCATACAGAGTGTATGATCTAAATAAAACTTGAAATCTTAATTTTGTGACTTATCAACTGTAAATTCTTTTATATTTTACCTTCTTTTTATTGTTGTTTGTATGTATGATTTTTTGAATAACTTCATTAAATTTTGGGTCTGCGCTGGCACGGGCAGATCCCCGCCTAGTTATTATTATTATTATTATTAATATGATTATTATTATTATTATTATTATTATTATTATTATTATTATTATTTTATTATTATTATTATATAGAAAAGGGAAAGATGGTCAACCAATGGCATATATGTCATTTCGGGAAAAAATTATTGTATTGTTTGGATTTCTTAAATGCAATTTGTGTCCTTTTTTATATACGTGAAGTCCACATTTCCTTGACCACATCACTCCTTTAAAAGTTTAAATCTACTGTTGATTAGACTACTTTTGCATAGAGTTACTCCATGCAAATACTCATTTTGAATATTTTTTCTCATTTGATAAATTATTAATTTTTGTTTTAGTCAACTAAAAGTTTTCACAGAAAAAGTAAATTTAATTTTTAAATAATAAAGCAACAAAAAGAAATATACATGAATATTTACAAGATTTTCATATTTACGCATACTATTTTAACACAATTTAAAAAATAAAATTAAAATGTTTTCATGTATTCGCACGATTTGAAGGCGATTTCAAACCTAAAAATTTTATATTCAAAAGTAATTTTAAAAACTATAGTTTGTTAAACCTTAAAAGTTAATTTAAGTGATTATATTTGTTCATCTGTTCTAAGAGGTTATCTCTTATGTACTTAATTAATGTGAAAATTTGATTTATATTGTTTGAACTCCATTCTTCCATGATAAATTTTCAACAATCTATAAATTTCTTAAAATATTTTATATTATTTCATTATAAAAATTAACATATGATAAATCTATAGAAAAAATAAAAATATTTCTCTTATATCCTTGATTAAGAAAAAAATTAAAATCCCTATAATTTATATAGACTTCTATCAAATATTTATTATCTTATCACCAGTAATAACATTTTAAACGAGTTATAATAAAATATAATTTAAACTACTATATTGAATTACTACAATTTGTATCATGTTAATATTTGTTTAGTGTAGTTGGTTCTCTTTGTTTGAAGTAGTAAATTACCGATGCAAGTCCCTTTGGAAGTTCTCTTTATTGACTGTACGAAAAATTTCTCTTGATTTTGTTATATACAAGACATAAAATAAAATCATAAGTTTTTTTTTAACTTTTCTCGTATTGTAAAGAATGATGTTGTTCGTTTTAACTTTCATCAGGTAGCTGATTGTTCCCACTATTGAAACACTTGCAAGACCAAATTGGATGTATTCAAAATTAGTTTACAAATAGATCGGTAAATTTTTTATTGTAGAAAAATTATTAATATAAATTACACTTGTACCTTTAATGTATTACTATCTTGTTAAAAAATCAAATATAGTGGGGAAATAATATCATTCAATCAATTTTACAACTTGATGTTTACATTTGACATTGATGTTAAAATGTATTATAGCACACAGTCTTTTTATGTTAATAATTGGAGCAACTTAAACATGTTATAATTTATAGTTTAATTTTGTGTAAATTATTAAAATAAATTAATTGTAAATTGTGATCCCCAATATCATCTCTTTAGTTATTAAATGGATATAACAATGATCGATTTATTTACCAAAAAATTAATTGAGCGACGACACACAACAATTTTAAGATTACAAAGTTGGGCCCGTATACAGGTCTTTCCTCATCTAGTATACATATACATGAATACTATTGGTATACTTGAGTTGATGGGGAAAACCAAACCATTTAAGATGTTGATTACCAAGCCTTTTCTTATTTGTAATATGTAGGAACATCTAATATTTAACACTTTAGAACAAGTAAGATTTTAGCTTATATAAACTATTTCTTTATTTTAACTATGTAATTACAGTATGCTCCTCCTTGCCAAAAAATCATTAGAAATTTATGGACGAAGATAACATTCTCCTAACTGCCTTCACACCCAGGTCACAATTGAAGCATGCAATTTTCTATTAGCAGTTAAGCAACAAAGAGAACCAGTAAATATGAGTTTTAAATTTCATAACAAAGTAAACAATTGTACTAGAGAGGCACACGAGATTGTTAACCATTTAACTAAATTATGTTAACATCATTAATTTTTAGAAATTTATACTTTTTTTATTTAATTTTTAATTTATATCTCGACCATATTTCCGCATAATATTTATGTAATTTTGTGAAGTTAGTATTCATTAATATGGGAAACAGGCGCAACACACATACCCTATAACTAGTCCATATATAATATATGTATAACCGTGTATAATTAGTGTATAATCTGTGCATACCAGCTAGAAAAAGTAAACAACGAAATCATTTGGCTATTTGTGGAAAAACAAAAACCCCGAAAAGTGACCAGTGGATATTTTCTGGGGCAAGTGCATAGATAGTCATTCTCAGGTATGTTGTTTAGAGATTAGCCAGTACTTATTTTGTCCTGAAATTTTAAGCTAAAAATCTTAACTTCAGGAAAATATTTTTGTCCTGAAAATTTGAACTGAAAAACTGAAATTCAGGACGCACTGGCTAATCTCTAAATAGCAGCCCTTTAGAGTGGCTACCTGGCGTCATTTCTACACGTTTTTTCCTTCTAATGAAAGGAGTAGGCCCATTGGGTTTCACATGGAGGCCCAAAACACTATTAGCTCATGAATACGAATTCCGATTGATTTCTGCCCCGACATTTGAAATTAGGGCAGTCTCTCCTCTTCTAGGATTTTCCATCTCTCTCTCCGGCGAATTTCACGGCGATCTCTCTCCAACGAATTCGAGTTGTAAGTTCTCCTTTTTCTTTTCTTTCTCGATTTCCTCCTCTCCTTCCGTCATGAGTAAAACTAGATCCCTAATTCTCTTCATGTTGAAGCGCTTATACTTTAATTTGATGCTTTGCTTTGTGTCCACTCCGATTCGTGTAGTATGAAAAGGAAATTTTAAGGAAAAATGCCCCGAAAATTGGATTTTTACTGCCATGATTTTGTGATTGACGATAGTCTCGAATTTCAAATCTTTAATGAATTCCATCTACCTTTAAAATAGAAGTCTTAAATGAACCTTATCTGATTATTTATTATCTGTATAACTGAATCATGTGGTTGGTTTTGTATAGCTCGTTAATTGCCATATTGAAATCCGTTGCAGTTATGGCATCCACTAGTTTTACATATCACCTATAGATGCAAGACACTTCTAGTTTTAGAGAATCCCAGTTTATCTTAAAAGGCAAATTATCGAGTATTGGGATGAAATCTGCATGAATTGAGCGGTGTGGATAATGTGGGTTCATATAGCAAATCCCAACTAGTGTGGGGACTGGGGCGTTCTTGATTTGTTTTGTTATGTAGCAAGATGCGAGTTTTTTTATTGGGCCATTTACTTTTTGCATATTAAAGCATTTATGTTGTATTTTAGACTACGTACTTTGTTAGCAGAGAGCATTGCCTACCCAATACAGTTATGGGATCCGCTAATTTTATATGTCACCTACAGATAGAGTAAAATCTAGGATTTAAAAGCAATGGCTGCATCACTTGACATATATACATATTTATAGAATTCTTCTTGTATTTGGTATATGTATATATGTACAAGGAGCCGCTTATATGCTGGTTTTGCCTCTGCCTAAAAGATATCTTTTTTTGACCATTTGCAGTTTTGAGTGTTATAGGGGGGTGGATATGGATTTGGAGACAGAGAACAGAATTGCGGCAATTCTGTTGAAAGAGGCTGCAGAATTGCGGCAGCAAGCAGAGTCAGATGGTGCACTTTCTTATCTTCATCGGCCTAATGTCAGGGGGAGACCAAATTCACGGTTTTTAACAGCAACTGTTCTTGGAGTACAACAAGGTATGCATCGCTTTTATTTCCCACTACGAGTTCTAGCTTTTTGTTCTGGTTTGATCCATTATTTCTCATTTACCGTCTTTGAACACTCTTTCATCTAAAGTAACTCAATATTTACTGCACTTAATTGGAGTTAGTGTCAGTTATACTTTATTCAGCTAAGATCACTTGCTCTAGGCAGAAATCTGGTGTTATGCTCTGCCAGTAATGCTGCACTGTGGGCCGGGACCGCGGTCCAAATGGGCTAAAACGGGCCTGGTGGGCCGGTCTCAGTGGGCCGGTCCCAAATGGTGCACAAGGCCCGTGGCGGGCCGGTCCAATTCAAGGAGCCCACGAGCCGGGGACCGGCAGGCGGGCCTAACGGGCTCCAACGGCTATTTTTTAAAAAAAAAGACCAACGGTCAGATTTTTAAAATCTAGCTGTTGGCCTTCAAAATTTATCCGTTGGCCACTTTAAAAAATAGCCATTTGACTCCCAAACTTTATTTTAAACCCAAACTAATGCTGTATTCTGGGCCGGGCTAAACGGGCCTGGGCTTAGCAGTCCCGGGCTCTGGCGGTCCCGGGCTTCATGGGCTCAACGGGTGGAACCGCCCATGACGGGCCTAAGCCCACATGGTCCTGGGCTAAATGGGCCGGGCTCGCGGGGCCCATACGGGCCTAACGGGATTTTTTTTATTTCCGGGCTATTTTTTTTTTGATTTTTTTTGTTTAAGGCAATTTCTTGTAAACCATATATGTAAATACTAATATAAATTGCTCTTATACATGGCTATATAAATATATGTAGTATATATAATATAGAAACCTAATTATTAAAGTGCTTGAAGAAAAAGTAAAATAACAAAACAATAGTAAAACTAAATTATCATGCATAATAAATTAATAACAAAGTAAAACATTGAGCATAAATACGTCTAATAATTTTAAAATAACACAAATTGTCGAAAAATCTTAAAGACGAATTTCCGGATAAATACGCTCAAGACAATACTTTATATGCATCCTTAAAATGCCTGTGGTACACCCTGAACGAAAATTTAAGACTCTTCCACAGTTCTTGCACTTTAATATTTGGCTGAAGAGTCTTCATTTTCTTCAAGCACTTCAAAGTGTAGCGAAACAAATAAGCGCACTCTTTCCGAACGAGGCATGATTTAACTTGAAATTTGAGATTGAGACTTGAAGCATTGAAAATTGGAGATTGAGAGAAATTTAGATTGAGAAATGAGTATTGAGTATTGAAATGAAGAAGAAGGAGGGGGACATTTATAGTTTTAGAGAAGGTTAGTTTTCTAAATTGAAAAAGAAAAAAAAGAAAAAAATAGGCTATTTGTGCAATATGACCGTTGGCAATGGTCATTAGGGGTGGGGCCCTCCTTTTGAAAAATCTTGTAATATTTTGTAGTATATATAGTATGTTAGTATATATTTCTCTCTCTCTATATATATATATATATAGATATACTATACTATATATAGTATGTTATGTATATATATTTCCAAATATAATTTCTTGTAGTATATATAGTATGTTAGTATATAGTATGTTAGTATATATATCTATATATGTATAGTATATAGTATATATAGTATACTATACTATATATAGTATGTTATGTATATATATTTCCAAATATAATTTCTTGTAGTATATATAGTATGTTAGTATATATATATATATATACTATAGTATGTTATGTATATATATTTTCTTATAGTATATATAGTGTGTTATGTATATATATTATAGCTTATAAAGAATTGCAAGTTAAAGACAAAAAAAATATTGCAAAGAGATATTCAAGGGAATGTCTTATAATTTTTATTACCAAAAATGGCATATCTTTTTTAGTCTTCTT